GACGGAGGAGCGGACCCCGGGCGAGGGTGGACCCGAGGCGGACCTGGGGAGGGGGCGGGGCAGGGGAGAGGAGCACGGGCGGGCGGGGCAGGGCGAGGGAGGGGGCGGAGATCCGGGCGGAGGAGCGGACCCCGACAGGGCGGACCCCGGCGGGGCGGCCCAGGGCGTGGGCGTGGGCGTGGGCGCGGGTGCCCAGGGAAGGCGGAAGGACTCGGCGCCCGGGGAGGCCCTGCGCTGAGCCGTTCCCCCTCCCTCGCGCCGCGGCCGCCTCCGCCGAGCCCCCAAGCCCGGAGCCGGAGCCCCCAGCCCCGCCGGCGCCATGGAGAAGCTGCTGCTGTTGTTCTGCAACTGGAGCACGCTGGGCGTGTGCGCCGCGCTCAAGCTGCCGCAGATCTCCGCGGTGCTGGCGGCGCGCAGCGCGCGGGGCATCAGCCTCCCGAGTTTACTTCTGGAGCTGGCGGGGTAAGGCCGGGGCGGCGGCGGCGGCGGCGGCGGCTGCCCTCCCCGCTCGCCTCTGCGGCCTGGACGGCCCGGGAGCTCAGGAGCGCGCCGTGGGTCTGGGTAGGGCCGGGGAGCGGGGCCGAAAGCGCCCGGCCGCTGGGGGGCACTTCCCGGGACCGCTCGCCTCCCCTGTTTATTTGCCGCTCCCCGCACGGACTGCGCGTGCCCAGCTTGCAGATGGGGGAAACCGACCCCTGGCCAGGCCCTCACCCCGCCCGTTAGTCGCAGCGCAACCGCGCGGCTTGGAACTAGGCCATTTGCACCTGAGGCCCTCTGATACACATCCGCCCTGGGTTCCCCCTCCCCCCGCCGATACCCCTTAGCTCGGGTCTCGGTTTCCTCGCGTGTAAAGCGAGGCGTTGATCCTCCGCCTTTAGAAAGTTAACACCTGGGGTGGGAGGATTCCGAGAATGGGGGGCTCTTTGGAGGAAGGGGAGAAAGACGAATCGGGCCAGAGCCAGCCAGAGAGGAGCCAGTGCCGCTGGGAGAGCGCGTATCCGTCCGAAATCGGGAGTGGATGCCTTGACTCGGTATTTAAAGATGTAAGCGCGAAGAGCAGAGTTCTGAAACTCGGTTGGGAGGCCTCGAATTGGTGGGAGAGCGGGGCACGTGAAGCCCGGGAGTCTACCCGCGAGTCCCTGGCAAGGCCGCCCCCCTCCCCCCGCCCCCAACCGGGTTATCACTCGGCGACCGCGCGGGCGGGTCCTCCGCGGAAGCACGACCCCGGGGGGCCTGGGCTGGAAAGTAGCCTGGGGCAAGGGAGGGAGAAGAAGACCTCGGGGGTGGGGGAGGTGGGGGGTCCTGCGCCCGGCGCGCCCAGCGGGGGAGATGCTTTATCAAGAGAGTCGGCCGACTGGCGGGTGTGTGACCCGGCTCTGATTTGCAAACGACCCCACAACGCTGGGACCCCCCCCCCCCCCCCGCCCAGGCTGGATAGCGAGGATTGGAGAGTTCTCCACCGCCTCGAAGTGGCCGCCGCGTCAGTTCGGGTGGGGATGGGAGAGGGGGAGGAGCGGTGGGGGAGTGTCCGGGAGGGTGTGGACGGCCTGGGGGAGGGCCACGGTTTTTAACTGGTCCCTGAGCCTGGGAAGGTGGGGCTGGCCCATTGCGGGGTGAGTGGAAGTCCGACTGATGCCCAAGGAGGCGAGTCGGGAGCCTGCCCACACGCTACACACAACCCGGCAGGCGCTGCCAGCAGGTGTCGGCTGTCACTCTATCCAACCGTGCACCTCGGCAACACCTGCCCTCCCGGCACTGGACGTGGGCTTGCGTGGGCGGGGGAGCCGGAGTCGGCGCGGGAGGCGGCCTCGTGCGTGTCCCGCGGGGATCGCCGTGCACGCGGAGGGCCGGCCGGCCTGCCGCTCACGCTTCGCGGAGGGCCAGGCACGCAGGCTGCTGTGTGCGCGTGGCTGTGTCTAGGCCCGGCCGGATGCCACCCTCTCCCCGAAGCTGGAAGTGATCCCTCGGAAGGGATTCCGAGGTTTTATCTACACCTCGCTTTATCTTACTGGTGGGTCTGTGTGTTGGCGCTATTTTACTCGATCCTCAGGGCGCCCTAGGGAGTAAGCATTGTTTTCATCCCCAGAGAATAGTAGCCTGAGGCGGAGGAAGTGACGCACCGTGCCCAACTTCACCGGCAGCAGCTGGGCCCTAGGTTTCACCCGGGCCTGGCCCTTTCCATCCTGAAGCCTGGCTCACCCCCGCTCTCCACGCTCACTGGGTTTTTCCGCTTCCTAGACTCGTCAGCAATATCCTGGGTGGGGAAGCGGGTTGGCAACACCCTGCCCCCTTCCCTTTTCCTTCCCCAGCCTTCGCTGGTGAGGGCCCTGGAGAAGCTGGGGGGCACCGCAGGCCTGCCTGTGCCTGGTGCCCGCCTTGCCTGCCTGCCTGCCCACCAGCGCCCCCTACCGGGCCAGGAGCAGGGTAGCAGCCAGAATTCGGCGGACAGAACCCGGAGGGCATCGCCATCAGGGGGACCCTTTATATCCTGGGAAGCAAAAGCCAGACTAAATTTCTTGGTGGACGTCTACCTGCCTTGGGTCCTGATCTGTTAACGCTAAAAGTCCACTTTTGAGAGAACCGGGTCAGTGGGAGCGTAAGCTGTATCTTAGTGAGACCAGAAAATGGCTTTGAATGCGCATCGGCGTGAAGTGCAAGAAAATGCCTGGATTTTAGAAATGCCTCCAGACGTGTGCAGGGCGACAGCCACACGCCCGCGTCAGCAAAGAAAAGGAGCTGACCAAACCTCCACTGGAGGCCCCACGTTTAGTGAGGGGGAGGCCTGCAGGGCAGACGCAGCTGGCTCAGCCGGCTGGGGGAGGGGGAGGCTGGCTGCGGGCCGCACCGTGTCTGGCGCAGAAGGCGGCACAGACGGGACCCCAGGCAGACTGGGGGGGGGGGGGGGGGCGCCCTGCCAGCAGACTGCTCATTTTCTCCGTTGCTGGAACAGGTGTCCCAGACAGGTTCCGGGGAGGGGAAGCGGGGAGGAAGTTGGCAGGAAGTGCATAGCGGGCACCTCTCTGCCCAGGCTGTGCCAGCCTGACGTTCCGCCTCCCCCCGCCCCCGCCCGCGCCCGGGTTCCCCGGCTGATGGGAGCGCGCCTGCCTCAGCAGCTCCAACACCCCTCCTTCCAGGCCTCCCTCCTGCTCTGCCCCCTTGTGCCCTCCTGGGTTCCAGACACAGTTCTGCTCACTGCACCTGCTCTGGAACCTTCCGTGGATGGGTTTTCAGACTCCCGATTCAGCCCTCCGCCCAGACAAGACAGCCCCGGGGCGGGGCGGGGGGGGGGCTGACCCTGCTTCTGCTCCCCAGGCCCAGCAGGCCGACTTCTGGTGTCTGGCTAAAGATTCCTTTGGAAGAGGCTCCAGCGGCTCTCGAGCTGCTGCCTCTGTGAGCGCATGTGTCGTTTTTCGTTCAGACCTCTAGCCTGTGTGTGGAGGGAGGAAACTCCAGTCACTTTGCAGAGCGGACCAGGAATACCAACAGGTGTGTGGGGCCGCGGGTCAGACACCGTTCGGCCTGACTTTATTGTAAGGAGGGTTCTAATGTATTACTTTTTGATGAAAAGAAGGACACCTCACTGCCCCCAGGCCACAGGAGTGACAGATGGTTGTCCTTGGACGTTTGGATCCCCGAGAGAGAGCAAGAGAGCGAAAGAGAGAGCGCGCGTGCGCACTGCAGCCTGGCCACCCGGCCTCCCTGGAGGGCCCCGGTGGGGTGGGGTGGGGGTTGGTGGCAGGCACCACTGCTGGTGGCCGGGGAAACTCATGCGCTCGTCTTCGTCTTTTCCCTGAATTCTCATATGACCTTGGTTTCTTGGACCTCAGTCTCCCCAAGTGGTCTGTAAAATGTGGAGGGCACGGTGGATGGCCGTGACCTCAGCTCTGACACCCTAGGGCTCGTGCCTGTCCTGAAGGTCTGTGGCTGCACTCTGGGGGTAGGGGGGTGCGCTCAGTGAAGAGCGAGCAGGTGGCAAAGACCCCCCAACGCCTGCTCGGTTGTACCGCCCGCTTGTTCGGCAGGGTCGTTGTCTAGGCTTCCCGAAGTGCCTGGGCCCCGCTGGCTGCAGCCCTGCTCTGCAGGGGTGGGTGAGCTGAAGCTGCCCCCTCCCCTGGCCCCCTAGGCTCCCCCTCAGATGTGGACAGAAAGGTGCCGGAGGCCTGGTCTGGAGACCCCCGTGCCCGGGGCCCCCCCTGGGCTTCCCCCCCTCCCCCCATCCTGTGACCCTCGCCCCCAGCTCAGCCAAGGTCCGAAACAGGATCAAGGGCACAGGCTCCCCAGCCCACTGGGTGCTTTGTGAACCACCCCCCCCCCCCAGCTGAGGAAATGAGAGGGGGTTACGTCTGGATGAGTGATGGAGGCTGTGGTTCACCTGGGGGATGAAACAGACTCTGAGGGGACAGCAGGGGGACTTAGGTTCTTAGGGAGCTGACTGGCTGGGCCGAGAGCTGGAGAGGCAGGAAGCTCAGGCCTTTTGTCCCGACAAGGGTCAGGTCCTGGGGTTTTTACTTGCCACTCCCCCCC